TTGTAATTGAGAAAGAGGCAGCCGAATTACGAAAAATAGTCCAAGGTAAAGCTAGTAGTATATTGCATCAACTTAAATAAATATCGTGCTAACTTCGTTTATTTTGATACAAATTAATTAAGTTACGGCTGGTAAGATATGGAGAAATAATGCTATAATGTATCAAATATTAAGATAAGAAATACGAAAGTTCAAACTTTCTACGAATGACAGAATTATATGTACCGTTCATGAACATACGGGTGTTCCAGTTGACTTCGTTCATCTGACATAACTAGTGGCAGCTTTGTATTGGTCCTGGTTTGACATTTTATCGATTTGACTTTGGATTGTATGATAAATAATGCATGTTTAACGCTCCTGGTTCACTGGATATAATCTATTTTTTCGATCTTCCTTCAGCCTGTATCACTTTTGTCAGTTTTTTGTAAAATTGACTAGGATGTTATGTGACATCAATGCTTGAATAGTCCATAATTTGAGAAATTTCAGAAATAAACCATAAATACTTTTATATTTTTATTTATATGATTTGATTAAGGTGGTACCCAACACCTTGACTAATATTAATTTGGCTCGTTTAATTTTCATAAAATTTTGACAAAATGTTCACTTTGACCCTTTGACAAAAACATAAAAATTTCAAAAAATTTGAACCAACCACTTTATCAGAAAAATTTCATTGGTTATATAGCAGTTTGACAAACACTAATTTTGATCATTGAGAAGCTTAATATTTCCTTAACAATACAATGTAATTAAAACGCTTAGCTGATTTTTACAGAGCTATCTCCCTGTAGTGTTAGGTACCACCTTAAGCGAAAACAAAGATTAGACGAGATTTTTACTGACTTAAACAATGAATATCGAGAAAGAATGTTACACAAATAAAAAAAAAAGCAACCAAAAGCAATCCGAATCTATAAATGCCATTGGCATATCGGAACGAAAATCAATTTCTGCTCCACTAGAGGAGTCTGTCCTGCTGACAATCAAACATCCAATAATAAATAACAAGCCCTGGAATATTATATAGCACGTTTATACAAAATATATTGACAAAGGCAAGTCTCCTTCATACCTTGAATTATGCTCAGTAGCTTAACATTTTCAACTGGTATATTTTGCAAAACTTCCAAAATATTATGAAAGAACTTCATTAAATAAACGCCTTTCTAGAATATAAACCACTAGTTTAATACGATAATTCAGGTCTTGTGTTTCGTATCTGGAGTTCGTGTATACAGGGTTACTGATTACAAGGTCGAAGCTGCTGAATGAAACTAAAGGCTTGATAAAGAAAATTAGCTGTCAACTATTTTATTTTTCTTACGGTCGAAATCATAATTTGGATGACCTGTATACAATATGTGTTAAAGATTAGATTTGTGACATACATAATCCCATTCCCTTTTGTGTATATATCACCAATGGCTTTTACAGGTCATTATCAACACGTTTAAATTCCTAATCGATTTTTAAAGTTCTTTGATAACTTTTGGATACAGAAAACTTATTTGAGTTATTTCGCTTTGTACTAATAACTTATTTGCTTGTTGCTTCGTTGTTTAGTCAAATATGAATAAAAGAAGATGTAAGGTCTAAAGTCAGTTATACGGCAATAAAACGACGGAAATATGTGTCTTTCTATAAATGCGAGTCCACCTCCAACTCTAAAAACATAAATAAGTAATGAATTTGACATGCATAACATTTTTAGTGCTGACTACTGGACTGGTGAAACCCTCGGAACTAAAACTGACGAAAATGTTTTAATCAGACAACTTTTATACGCCCGTTCACGGGACGTTTTATGGTATACCGTTGTCCGTCTGTCTGTCCGTTCGTCAGTCCACCAACACTTCGTACAATAACTTAAAAACGCTCTCACCAGTTTTCAGGATACTTTGGTGAATTGTTTACTAGTATATCTATTGACGTAAGCTCATTTTCGATTTTTATAAATTTTGGATTTTACGTTTCCGAGTTATGGAATTTTATTAAAAACAAAAATGGGGGATTTTCCAGTTTTTTTACTATAACTCAAATATGCTTTGAAAAATTTTGAAACTTTAGTGAATTGTATTTATATATTGACATAAATTCCCTTTCGATTTTCAAAAACAAAATTTCTGATTTTACGTTTTGAAGTATTGGGACTTTATTCATAAAGAAGGGGGTATTTTCCAGTTTTCGGGCAATAACTCAAAAACGCCTCACAGTATTTCTAGTTGATAATATAAATTCATTTTTAAAGACGAGGTAAAAGAGGGGCGTGCGTATCGTGCGCTCATAGCGCAGCTCTTTATTGTAATTTTGGTCGCCTCAACCCGCCTCAACATATCTTTACAAAACTTGTAAATCTGTTAGAATATGATACAACATTTATCCTGAACGGTACTTTTCTTTGTGTGCTGCATGAGAAAATTCTCAAATTTTAAACCAAACACACGCACATCGGTTAAAAGTTTAGATATGATTTTCCATTGGAATGCCTACAACAGATTTTTTTATGTTCTGTTACATGTTCCGTAGATAATAAAAATATTAAAGTGTGTTGTTCATTTATTACTATCATTTCATCGGAATGTTGTCAAATATGCAGATAGATTTTTGAATACCTAAATGAATAAAGATTAAGTCTGAACATTACAAAAATAGCCATAGCCCTGACTTTAATTCTGGTTGTAATTATGATAAGAACAGAACAATGACACATATTCTTATCTGTCCGCATTTACAAATGTCAGTTGAAATTATTATTCTGTGCTTGTTCTTTCATGGTATTATTGCAACCAGAAATGATATCAATTTGGAAAATCTTTTGAACCGAATGGAAACTTATGAAAAGAAAATAGCCAAACTTGAAATGGAGGTTCAAAAGATGTCTGTAGTTGAGAAAGAAGCAGCCGAATTACGACAAATAGTTCAAGGTAAAGATAGTAGTACCGGTATATTCATTATATTGCGTCATCGAAAATAAACATCGTGCTTTCTTCGTTTATTTTGATACAAATTAATTAAGTTACAAGTCGTAAGATATGGAGAAATAATGCAATAATGTATTGATTTTTATATTATTATAAAAACGAAAATTCAAACTAGCTCAATTCAGAATTACAGAATCACATGAACATGAACCGTCCATGAACGTATGTACAGTGGAGATCACTTCTAACCTCTCATCAAATCTGTCAGAATCTGTCAGGAGAACTGTTCTAGGACAGTATGTAGAACTGTCATCCTGACACCTTTTAGACAGTTCTAGCTAGAACAGTTCTAACCTAGAACTGATTTGGTCAGTTCTACATACAACTGATTTAGACAGTTCTACCTAGAACTGATCCTTACAGATTTACCCTAGAACAGTTTTAGACAGTTCTACCTAGAACTGACCAACTCTTTGGTCAGTTCTACGACTAGAACAGTTCTACGGCTAGAACAGTTCTACGACTATAACAGCTCTACGATTAGAACTGATTTAGTCAGTTCTACGGCTAGAATTGATTTAGTCAGTTCTATCCATAGAACAGTTTTAAGAACTCTTTGTCTTAAATATAAATAAGTCAAAAGAATATAATATATATTAAAAAATTCTCATCACAGCACTGTTTTAACATTTCTCGTTACGGAAAATGTTCATAACCGTTTTCTCGGTCGCTTTTATAGCGGAAATTTTGTTACGATGGATGTCGATGGAGGAGAGTGCAAAACAAATAATTTTATGAAATATTTGTACTTACAGGTAAATAAAATACCAAACTTCATTATTTAGAGTTTATAATGAACGACTGGCGATATTCTGACGGGAAAGGGGTGACACGTTTTTTTGTGGATGGAACATGCTTTTTGACAATAAGCTTGTTACCGTTTTGATCGAGGTCTCAGTTTGTTTACATTCTTCATAATTATTTTATTTTTTAACCCTTTCTTGTGTAGAGTTAGTTATTTTATCAGGTCTGAGATTACTATAACAATAATATACTATGTGTTATAGTAATCTCAGCCCCATCCCACCAAAACTATCTGTGAGGGGGGTAATGCAGGGAAGAGGGATGTTTCATCAGAGTTTACAAAATGTTAAATTAGCTGATCACAGTTCACAGGAAATACAACAAAAATTTCACGAAAAACAATAAACTGGGAGCAGAATAAAAAAGGAAAAAACCAATTTTCCTCTTTTTTCCCTCTATTTTCTGACAAGTGCAATTAGGGGCTAAATTTGGACCAGAATGTAATAAATTTATTCTATAACCCATGTATTTGAGTAAAAAAGATGAAAAACGAAGACAATTCTTTTATATAAGTATTTATTTGTTACATTTCAAAATAAATTTATACTGAATTCTACACTTAGCTGTACATTTTCAGTCAACTCTCTGTAAAGGATGCAACATAGAATAAATTTATTCTAAATGCATGGTGCTTTTCTGTATTTATGATAATTTATAAAATAAATTTATTTTATAGAGCCTAAATACCTATTATTAGTTCTAGAAATTTTTAAAACAGAATAAGTTTATTCTACATTCAATGTGACGCATGACTATAATAATATATAAAATAAATTTACATGTATTTTGAAAGGAAAGTTATCTGTATGGTGAGGCTGAGATACAGAATAAATTTATTCTACATTCAATGTGATTTATGATTATAATAATATATAAAATAAATTTATTTTGAAAGTCCAGTATTCTATATGGTGAGGCTGAGACACAGAATAAATTTATTCTACACTCTAAGTGATTTAAAATTTATGATTATAATGATAAATAAAATAAATTTGTTTCGAAAGTAAAGTTATCTGTATGGTGAGGTTAATACACAGAATAAATTTATTCTACATTCAATGTGATTTTTGTTTTATATAAAAATATATAAAATAAATTTATTATGAAAGTACAGTAATCTGCATGGTGAGGCTGAGACACAGAATAAATTTATTCTACACTCTAAGTGATTTAAAATTTATGAATATAAAAAAATATAAAATAAATTTATTATGAAAGTACAGTAATTACGTTAAGGTTGAGACAAAGAATAAATTTATTCTACACTCACACTATTTCTGGTTATAAAAATATATAAAATGTCTTCAGGTAAAAATACACTGATCTGTAGGACTGTCTACTACATACAATAAATTTATTTTATGTCAGCAGTGCTTTTGATAATATTCAATATGTTCACGTGATACATTTTTTCCATATACAATTCTATCTTTCATGTCTATTTACATGTAACATTCATAAAAATGTATTTTATTTGGAGTTGGGATGTGAATGTTTTTAAAACCTAACTTAAGACAAAATATATTTACTGCTATCAACAATGCAAAAGGACACTTCTATAAAATATGGAAATAATAATTTCAGCAGATTTTGTTATGTGGGACTGAATAGCAAGATGAAAGAAATACAGCAATTTTAAAAAACAAAATATCAACATATAAATGTAAAATAAACAGTTTAAAAATAGTAAAAGTTCGACAAGTTCTACTAAAACTGAAAAAAAATCTGCTTTTTTAGATACATGTCTCCATAGATGAACGTGCTAAAAATTGTCCCTTTTCTTGTTTCTGGATTGGCCTGATCTGAAAGAAATAACGACAAATTTTCAACAATTTCAAATATGAAAAAAAAATGTTTTCCTTTTGAGTATACGATATAAATAAATATATCGAAATAGCTATTTTGTTAATATTTTTAGTTATCATACCAAAATTTATAATCTATGACGAGGAAACTGTCAAAAAACTTTCTGTCTTTTTTTTATCTTAATTATGATGTCTATTTTGTTTATTTTATTATTCACTCTCTTTATTGTAGTTTATAGTCTTGCCTCTGGATACAGCAAGATAATATTCTTAGTATTGGCTGATAAGATGATTTTATAATTGCTAGAGAGAGAACTAATTGAAGCTGTATATATATATATGCGTTATCCCCCCTTTTTTGATTTCATTTGTCCTGAGCAATCAGATACCCTCTAATGTCCAATAAAATTGAGAATGGAAATGGGGAATGTGTCAAAGAGACAACAACCCGACCATAGAACAGACAACAGCAGAAGGTCACCAACAGGTCTTCAATGCAGCGAGAAATTCCCGCACCCGGAGGCGTCCTTCAGCTTGCCCCTAAACAAATATATATACTAGTTCAGTGATAATGAACGCCATACTAAACTCCAAATTGTACACAAGAAACTAAAATTAAAAATAATACAAGACTGACAAAGGCTAGAGGCTCCTGACTTGGGACAGGCGTAAAAATGCGGCGGGGTTAAACATGTTTATGAGATCTCAACCCTCCCCCTATACCTCTAGCCAATGTAGAAAAGTAAACGCATAACAATACGCACATTAAAATTCAGTTCAAGAGAAGTCCGAGTCTGATGTGAGAAGATGTAACCAAAGAAAATAAACAAAATGACAATAATACATAAATAACAACAGACTACTAGCAGTTAACTGACATGCCAGCTCCAGACCTCAATTAAACTGATTGAAAGATTATGTCTTCATCATATGAATATCAGGCACAATCCGTCCCGTTAGGGGTTTAGTATCATACCATCATAACACATATGAGAAGAACATAACCCGTGTCATGCCAACAACTGGTTTTTAAATAAATGTGTTTAGTGCCGATGCAAAGACCCTATAAGTGAATCAATATTAACGCCAAAATATGCAATCTTTAATGACCTGACAACAGTATCGTAACCAACCCTGGTAGTGGGGCATTATTGTTTTTAGTCTTTGCATCCGTTTGTTCATCCAGCAACCCCATATGAGCTTAATATATTGATTGTTATATGTAATAAACCCCTTGCAGTCAAATCCTTATGTACATTAATTAAAAGTAATGTTAAGGTCAGGGAACAGTAAATGGGTATGATAATACCTTTATCTCTTTTATTTTCAGAAATATAACTGATTGAATTCTGTCAAAATAATTGAACATTTGTATAGGTAGCACATTAAAATCGTCGAAAAACGTTCATAAATGTGTCTTAAAATCTTAAAGTTTTCAATTATGTTATGTATAATATGTTTGAATGTTGCAAAAGTTGATCCAAAAAAAATTTAAACTAAAGTTTAACAGACAGAGACAAAAAGGCAAAACAAACAATTTGCAATGTTGTTTTAATACACAATAAATCTGAAATATTTTTTTTACTAATCACACTTTAACAATTTAAAAGTAAAAAATATATCAAATTAAAACCTCATTCTTACATACCTATCTTCATCTGCAGAGACACTGTATGGGGTTAGGACTGAATGACAATCTAGTCTTTTTTGCTGGTGTTTCAAAACAATTTTCTCACTCTACAAGAAATATTTGAAGTTTAATGCAGGATCAATTAATCTGTTATTGTTTTTAAGAATAAAGAACAAGCATATTCCTTTATTATTATCAGTATTGGCATGTATCATTCCCAACTTCCTGAATATGCATGAAATATTTGCCATTGGACATTAAGCCAGTCATAACCAATCAATCAATCAATCATCGAGTCTAAAAATAGATGAATGGTATATGTCATGGTGACAGCGAACTGAAGACACAAATAACAAAAACAGGTTTAATAAAGTCTTAAACACATGACTGGTGTTAAAAATACGTTTACTTACCCCATTTATCATATCAGAAAACAAGTAAGACATGTTTCCAAAGGAACAGCAGCTTCTTCAGGCAAACATGTGAGTAATGTACCAAACACATTTCCCCCTTCAACAAAATCTTCATTTTTCTCTCAAAATGTTAAGGATGCTCCTTAAGCACTCTGAAACAAAAATATATTGAAATTTAGGTACATGTACTTTAATCAACACTTTAAATATTTTATAACCAAAGTAAGAGTGCACATGTCTCGCCTTTGATTTACTTATCATGGAATTCATGTTGAAAGTCTGTAATATGGAGGATTTACTACAATTATCACATAAACTTAACATTATCAATGAACCAACTATAGTTGTCATATTGCTTATAGAACATGAGAAACAGATCTAACCACAAAATCTAAACATTGATCAATGAACCTTTAAAATGAGGTCAAGGTCATGTAAACACCGACCAACAGACAGGCACCTCACAATTGTTCCATACACTACATATAATTGACCTATTGCTTATAATGCTCGAGAAATTGATCCAACCACACAACTAAAAACTGTCAAATAAACTATGAAAATGAGGTCGAAGTCAATTAAAACCTGCCAGACGGACAAAATAAAATAATTTTCATATAAAACTCTGAAGATAGAGATACCTTTCTAAGAACATTTATTTTTCCATTAACAAAGATTGTGAAATTTAATGTTTTAAAAAAAGTTTACTTACCCACCCCCCCCCCCCCCCCCCCCCTTTTTTTTTGATTGGAAAATAAATTAAGTTTAATCCTAAAATTGACAAACTTATTTTTATGGAATAACACCCCTATGCCTTTGAAAAAAAACTAGATTCGCCCCTGAAGATAAGAGTTCATTTGAACAGTGCAGTATATCTGAGGTAGTTAATGCACACCTTTACTGTGCATTATCCAGATTATAGCACTATAGGAAAAAAGAGAATTTGCCTATGTCATGTGTTAATAATGGTCTATAAGCAGTAAATTTATCTCATGTTTGAACATTTACATTTTGTTAATTCAATTCAACCTTTTACAAATAAAAACATCGTAACCAATGGTTAAAATAACTATGGCTGAAGCCAGTATATATGTTTATACTTATGCTGGACTTACACTATTTTTCTTCCAGAGTTTGATCTTTCACAACATTTAATAATAAATGCTGTGCTTTTCGGTCCGTGCAATATACATTTACATGATATACCGGTATATACTAAAGCCTACAATTTTACTATTTTTCTTCAAGAGAAAAGTCAGACAATGGTATTACTCAATGGTAGTGAAATTTATCATTCCTGCAGGAGGTGCCAAAATAAACTGAGATGAAAAAGAAGTTTGAAAAGCTGCACTCATTTGATAAAGGAAGTGAACTGTATTGATTGACTGATTAAAACTGTTTAATCATAGTTTAACTGTTTAACTCAGAGGACCGTATCAAGTGAAATGCATACATCCGTGTATGAAAATATTAAGATATTAAAATAACCGACTTGCACGTATTTTGTCCCCAGGTCTCATTTTAGGCAAGGAATATGATAATGCAGTGCAACATACGTCCATAGTAAGCGTTACTGCAAATTTAATACTCATGATATAAGAAATATATATAAGATTGAGAATGGAAATGGGGAATATGTCAAAGAGACAACAACCCGACCAAAGAGCAGACAACAGCTGAAGGCCACCAATGGGTCTTCAATGCAGCGAGAAAATCCCGCACCTGGAGGTGGTCCTCAGATGCCCCTAAATAAAATTGGATGCTAGTTCAGTGAAAATGGACGTCATACTAAACTCCAAAACATATAAATGAACTAAAATTAAAAAAGCATACTGACTAACAAAGGCCAGACGCTCCTGACTTGGGACAGGCGCAAAAATGCGGCGGGATTAAACATCGGAGGGGTCCTGATCCCGAAATCCCGGGCTTAAAAACATGAAATCCTGAGGTCCCGAATTTAAAGAAATTTAAATCCCGACATCCCGAAATTCGAAAAAAGAATTCCCGGATCCCGAAAGGATCAATCCCGAAATCCCGAGCTTAAAAACACCCGATCCCGGAGTCCCGATAAAGGTCCGACCCCCCTCTCCTATCGGCTGTGGTCGGGTTTTCATTTTGTGTACCCTAACCAGGCGAAGGTTCTTGAGACCAGTTCCATTCTTTCCGAATCGTTGTGATATAATGTTTTAAAATTTGCATAATATAACATTTTATTTTATTTTATATTTGTGAAAAATGCACTGTTAACATGGTTTAGTGTGAACATTTCCTCCGAGATAACATGTTTACGATTTACCATTTAAAATTTCCTGCCGTTGGAATTAATACATTTTTTTAGAAGTATTCGAAAATGCTGTCCATAAAAATTATCAATTTGATATACATTTAGGCATACATTTGAGAAGAAAGATTCGAATGAGGTGTGTCTTCTCAGGGAGGTTTTTTAAGTTCGAAAAGAACATCTGTGGTTTACTAAAACAGTGCATATTATTATATGAAAATTTGTCAACTGCAGACATGAAAGGCTTATGATATCTATGTAAATATATAAATACATAAAATAGATACTTACAGACTTCTGTTATCTCTCCTGATCTGTTCCTGTTCCTGGTGCCGTTACATCCACGACAAGAACAATAAACAAATGGAGTATTGAATATTCGCTCCTAATCTTTGAATAATATTTGAAACGGACCTTTCCTCCATGTACTGACAAATTTATTAAGATAGAGTCAAATGCACACGCTGTGGATCTGTTATGTAATTTCCGTCGTTTGTTCGTCATTATCTATCATGCGAAATTTTACAGTCGGATGTTTATTAGGTTTATATGATGGCCACGGTATGTGGTAATCAAAATATGATATGGCTAATTAGCATAGGATAACTAATCATTTTTGTAGAATGTAAAAAGAATCATAAGATTTCATATTACACTTCTCTTTTTCATTTAGTTCCTACAATTAAAAATCAAGTTTTGAGGTATCCATCTTCTTTCTAAAACATGAAGTTTTTTACTACGTCAATCATCAGAATTTCATGAGACAGCAAACGTTTTGCGTCCTATAAGGAATGAATAAATATTACACTTTCAGTGTACCCTAAAATAGAGGACCACCATGTCTTAGTTTATGTTCTACTAGTAGTATCGAAGTTTTAAACATACCAATTCTCATATTATTTTTTTTTAAAGCAACATCTCTTTTTCCATAGAAAAACAAAGGATATGGGGTATCAATCCATGACACAAAATCAGTATAAGAACAGCAATAAACAACACACAAAAAGCAACGGAACAGCGCTTTAATTGCTGTATTTAATCTCAAAGTCACATTGAGACCTTCAACACGGAGCAAAAAGGCTCTCACCTCACTGCAAGTGTAAGACAGCCCCTAGCACCAGCAAGAGCGAAATATTTTGCAAAAGGAATTTGAATAGAATTCGTAAGATGTTACACCACCAAATTGGGCACGGTCAAAAAGGAAAGTAGCTAGTACATATTTAAAACAAAGTAGTTCTTACGTATAGGTGTAAACATCAAACTATGCAAAACAATTTTTGGTAAGTCATTTAGATATCAAATGAAAGGTGAAGGACTGGTGATCCTTGTAGAATACATTTGACTGATGATTACAAATGATACAAATAGTTATGAATGAATTCTATAAAATTGAGGGCGTAATTACTCATATATGAAGTACCTGGTTTGGTTTATCCAAAGTTTCGGTATAACCAGTACAGTCTGATGTGTAAATAACGGTATACTGGTTCCCCATATATATTTGCATGTTGATTTTTTTTCGTTGTCGTCCGGAATACCGGAATACTAGTAGAATTAGCTTATTGTTCCCGCTTTCCGTACAAAAGGCAATGGCTGTTCCACGATATTATGTCATTGTTTCGGCCAAACAAATAATGAAGGTTAAGAAAACATATTGGTTTATTGGTGATGAAAGCATTTGAAGACTGGTACGATTGAAGTTAGAATAATGTGTCTTGGCAGAGTAACATGTCTTCCTGAAGAGTTTTTTTTATCTTCTGAATAAACACGTCATCAACCTGGCTCAGCTTGTCTAGTACAAAACATATTAATATCATAATAGATATAAGCAGATGTGGTTTAAGTGCCAATATGCAACTCTCCATCTAGGTCACAATATATAAAAGTAAACCATTATAGGTTGTCGTCTGGATATGTATGTAATAGTTACCACTGGACATTATACATCGTTCTCATCGTCATCCTAATCAATCTTCATATAAACAATTACGCGAGCACCTTACGGTAAAAAGGTACATAAAAAAGTGGTTTATTCCATCAAGGTTATCAATCTAAATAAATATAATTCGCTAATTTCGTTATCCTCTTATAAAATACAAGCACTATCATGGGTCGGGAATCATTTATCCGGGTTATTGTTTTTATATGTAATTTATAAACTAATAAATGGCGAATTAACGTAAAAATTATATGACAGTACCGAAGCACTTACTACAAAGTTGATTATACATGTACCTGCGGGGACTTCAAAAGAGCTTTTTACACAAGACAATGAGGACATTTCACTACGAGCCTATCTACTGGATTTATTGATAAATTTTTTCTATAGTCCTGGATATGCACGTAATTTTAGCCGCTACACGTTCAGCAAACTAAAAAATCGTCTTTTTTGTCTTAAAATGCTGAAAACTCTTTAAGTCGCGGTTTCGTTATTGAATTAAGTCACCCTTAAGTGTCTATAAACTGATCAGCAGCACATACCAACTTTCCAGTCGTGAGTGTGACACAGTCGGAGATCTATTCAGATAACATGGTTGTACCATGAAAGTATAATATTGACAATATAATACTTCCATGGATGTACCAAGGATTTTGTATGTCTATACGAAACAGAAATTAAAAAATAACTAGATCATGTATACAAAATAATAACCAAATTATAATGGTCCGATATCGTAAATGACAAGTAGTAGTGGCGAGTAGCGAAGTCTCGCCAGACGATAAACCACGAGATGCCAAATCCTTCTTACTATTAATATAATACAAATTCTTGGTTGTACCATAGGTGTAACTATTTTCTATTTAGGTAATTTTTTTCTAATTTAAGGATTTTAATTTTTTCACGCATCTTTTGTTCTAACTTACTTTATTCATGATAATTATAATTTTCCCATTTTATATATTTGTTCAAGGATTTGTATACATGTAGTAAGGACTTGATTTGTTCTATCAGAAATATATATGAATCGGCAAGCCGGAAGAAAAGTTAATATTTCTATTTGTTCGGCAATCCGTTTGCGCATGCACAAATAATCAATGTCATCGTTAAGCATTCCGGATGAGGTGTCGGATTGCAAATGCGCGTATTGTTGGACGTTTTGAGAATTTGAGCTTGTGTTTTATATCTAATAAAAGACGACTTAAGAGAAAAAGAGAGAATGGTATTGCATGCTTTGTAAACAAATGTCTATACTCATTAGGACGGACTTCATAACTTGGCAATAGCGTGGCATGTAAACTGAGAAGAATAAAGTGTAAAAGCACACCAGAATTGCTGTTTACCCCCTTACCTTTACCTGTATCATTGGAGGCAAAATGCGTAAAAATAAGTCTTGGAAAAGGGACAAAGCGAATATACTTTTCTGCATGATTTGAAAGTTTTACTACAACTGCGATCTGTGAACATGCACTGGTGACTGCACTGGAAATCTCGAGCTGGAAATAGTATACCAAGCTTAGAGTATAAACCCCCTTTTTAGTTTATTCTGTTTAATTATTTTTTTCCCCAATTAGAAAAAAAATATGACATTTTTGCTATTATAAACACAATCTTACTTTAGGGTCAGCTTACATGTACTTTCCCCTTTTCTCTTCTTTTCTATGTGTTTCAAATCATTTAACATTCAGTTAAATAATAAATCAGAATCATTTGACAATTTCATTGAAACCAAAGAAATGATAAATTCATAATCTTCTTAAGGAATCATATTTGTACATTGAAGCCATAATTCATTTGCCCGACTTTTAACAATCCAGGAAATTCATAGGTTAAAAATAAATACTAGAGACATGGTTGCCCCTAAAGTACTATCCTGTCCTAGATGCAGGCTTTCCAGTTTTCCAACAAGCATCTTCCCTATAATATCGTATCATTTCAATACCTTTTTACAAGTAATTTGTGACGAGACCTTTGTACTTGTAACACCGGTTTGTGTTCTGTTAAATTGTTAAATTGTTTCACTTTCCGTTCCTTTCTTGGACAATTCTTTGATGCTGTATTATTCTTTTTTATTTTTTATGCATTTTTTGTATCATGCATGCATATATATCCTGCATGTAAAAGAAACAGATATGCCGTAACATGGAATAGCTATACTAGGAATAACTAGTCAGAGCTTAGAACATAGACCCTCTTTTTTTCTTTCTTGTATTAACATTTTTTTTTAACATTTCAATATTTTTTTATCTATTTAATCCGGACTAAAGGCAGCACATTTAAACTAGTGTGTAAATTGTAAAATTGTAGTTAAATTACGAAAGCAAGCACAAATGAAGATAAGTTAAACATAAAATAATGAATTTATTACAAATCTTTTAAAACAAATAGAAGAAAGGGTGAGAAAAAAGGGTACCCATGCCCAATCGCCTATTTATCGTGAATAATACTTGAGGGTCTGGGTTTACAGAATATAGAATTATGGGGGAAACGCAGAATAACGAACAAAACATATAACATAAAGAGAAAAAAAGACCAAAAATATAAAGAATAGAAAATAAAAGGGTGATCAAATAGAGAATAATGAGAAAAATTATAAAGAATAGAAAAAAAATATTTAAAAAAATTAAAGAATACAAAATCGATTGAGTCAGGACCATTTATCCAGACCCTTATACTTTTGTAGTCCAATTTTATAAGCATATTATGTTATTTGAAGGGTATAAAATGAAAACACATTAATAACCCCTATGAATTGACACAGATTCAAATAATTTACAACATTCGATTTTTTTAATTTATGTTATCAAACTAGTGTCGCATATCTGTCAGAAGTTGTTAAAATATTACTAATTACACCAAACAACTCGCGGCTTAAAAGCCTTTTATCAATTTTATGTAATGCACGCGTACGTTGATTGTAGGCCCCCTAGTGTTACCACATGTCGAGAAGACTTCAAATGGAAACACAAGATAATTAATTACAAGACGACACGGATCAATAAGTTTGTATATGTATGATTACTTGGTATTATTCTCTATGTACGTGCAACGAAGATGACAGACAAGTGGACATTAGAAGGAGGAAGTTGAAAATAGACGGGAACTGTCTTAAATTCCAGTTTCGTATATATGCAACATTCATCACAGTTCAAGAAATTGGAGGTTAGTTTTCTCAGTAAATTAGAGGTGGGATTAGGGGTGGGGGTCAATGATACTGGGATCCCCTCATGGAACGACATTTATGCAATACATACTAAACGTTTTACAAGTCTCACCTCTAGCGTTGCCCTGCTCGTGCCCCTTTTGAAATCCTCGATCGATCCGCATCTGCGAATATCAATTTGCATAAGTTTTTACGATTGCACTACCGTTGTCCGTCTGTCCGTCCGTCATCAACATGTTGGACATTAACTCAAAACCGCTTTAACCAATTTGCATAAAACTTTGGTGCCTTGTTTAATTCTATTGACGTGAGCTCCCTTTCGTTTTTCATAAATTTTAGATTTTACGTTTCCGAGTTATGGGGTTTTATTCATTAAAAAAAGGGGGATTTTCCAGTTTTCGGAAAATAACTCAAAAATGCTTTCACCAACTTGCAAGAAATTGTAATGAATTGTTTATATCTATTGACATGAGCTCCATTTTGATTTTTATAAATTTTAGATTTTACGTTTCTGAGTTACAGGGTTTTATTCATAAAAAAGGGGGATTTTCCATTTTTCGGACAAAACTCAAAAATGCTTTCAGCAGTTCTTATGAAACTTTGGTGAATTGTTTATATCTATTGATGTAAGCTCCCTTTAGAATTTTATAAATTCTAAATTTTACATTTCTGAGTTATGGGGTTTTATTCATTAAAAAAGGGGGGATTTTCAAGTTTCGGACAATAACTCAAAAATGCTGTCAGCAATTCTCATGAAACTTTGGTGAATTGTTTATATCTATTGATGTAAGCTCCCTTTTGATTTTCATAATTTCTAATATGACATTGAGAATTAATTGAACTTTATTTGTTTATAGTCTGACAACAGATTTACTAAGTATTGCGCAACAGCACAGTGTATTGCACAACAGCAAGAAATCTTTATATTAATTGAATATAAATTCAATTCATATAACCAATTTCAAGTTCTTTGACTACATTTATTCAGAAACCTATAATATGTCAAATATTTAATTTCAATCCAAATTCAGACCTGTATCAAGCTTGAATATTGTGTCCATTTTTGCCCCAACTGTTCAGGGTTGGACCTCTGCGGGCGTATCCAGATGCGCACAGCACAGCAGTTTATTAATTCTGTCGGTGCTGGGGGTTAAAAAATGGCCGTCCCTGGGGGGCGGACATAGTATTTTCTGGAACAGCCATAATTTCATTAAAAGTTCAATTTAACAACAAATTTATTTTTTAAATAAGAAAAAGGTTAACCAAAAGTTATAAATTATTATATACTGTTGAAATTATGTTAAAATTTCTAACATACAATATCAAAATGTGTATAATTGGCAAAGATACAAACATCTCTGACTCAGTAACAGCACAACATAATTATGAATCTGCAAGATTTATTATACGACCAGCAATAGAAAAAATATTATTTATGTTTACACACAGGATATTTTTTAAGAACTGCTGTAATTCATAAGTTGGGATCAGTTGTTTTTTTTGTATTTTATAATTTATGATTATTTATTTTTCAGAGACCTAAAACCAACACAAGACCAGCTGATCAGAGGGCAGAAAACCAAAATTTGGAATGACATGTATACAACCAACACAAGACTAAAATTTGGAATAAAAATAAAAAAAATTCAGAAATATATTATTATTTTTTTATTGGTTCATGAAGCCAAGAAAAAAGAAGTCTTAACTTTTGGATAGGTCTATCTCTACATTTTGTAGTTGGTCAATGGAAAAAAGCAATAGTTAGTTTGATTGTATTTCAGGTATTTTCTTCATTTGGGATATTTTTAGAAGTGTATAAGTTGCGTAGAATATATATTTGTAAATTAGACAGTCAGCTTTTGGGCCTTTTTCCAAACTTTTTTCCTAGCTTGTCATTGTGTAGTGAATCCAGCTGAATGAATCTACAGTAAATATTAAGGTATATGTGGTAGTTTGTTGTATTTCTGAATAATTCATTAGAAAATGTTTTCCTTCGTTAAAGTGAAATCTACATTCTAGAATTTCCACCATCATAGTGAAATCTATATTCTAGAACACTGAAACCCTAAACATTCAGAAGTTGCAGCATGTACCAAGATGTCATGTTGAAGGCTGTACAGTTACCTATAATTGCTAACATCATCAATATTTGATTTTAGGATAGAGGGTTGTCTCATTGGCCATCATACAAAATCTCCTTTTTCGAATAGTATTATGTGTTAAATTTTTTTAAAGAAAAGTTGCTTTTGTTAAATGGAAATGTGTAAATCTTGTACTTCAGTATTGCAAAAGTTAAAAACTAACACTTTAACCTTAAACAACTGTGTGAAACATTAATTGGACAAAACTACAGGTTTAATGTAAATTATAATGCAAAGTTTTTGGGAAAACGAAATATTTATACATTTGACATTGAAACCTGGCAAAAAGGTAAAAAAACAACTTTTGTGACTATATTATACACAGCTGGCAGTTTGGAAATAAGAGTACATATCGACATTGTGTCCATCTTTCCTACATAGGACAAATTTACAACTTAAAAAACAGGTCAAAAGAATAAAATATAGACCTTGTTTACTTCCCCAATGGATTTTATTGCTCCTATCAATCAAATGAGGACAAGGGACGTTTACAGTTGTGTTGCGACGTTGTGACAACGTCTTATGATGGTAATAAATTACGTCACAAATTACGTTGTGCCAACGTTGTGTGGATGGTTGTCAGCACGTGCCTTGGAGTCCACAAAATTACGTTGTACCAACGTAATTTTACTACGTTGTCACAACGATAGTATTACGTTGTCACAACGTAATGTCAACGTTGGATTGTTTACTGGGTAGATTAATATCGATCACTGTATAATAAACAAGAACAACTTTGAATATAACATTTAGATACATGATAGAGCAGTGACACCCACCTCTTGATTGAAGAATATATTAAATTTCATTTTAAATATAGAAAAACTCTACTCGCCATTATAGACTCAGTTTTATCGATTACCCCCCCCTTCCCCCCTTCAATATCCCTGGATCCGACCCTGAAGACTATACCGTAGAAAATTGTAGGATAAATTTTGAGGAAAATCTAGAGACTAAGGTAATTTAAAAGTTTAAACTTTTAACTGGCTTTTTGAAACCAGTATCTTAGAATGCTGAAATTATGAATCATAATTGATGTTTTATAAAAGTGTCCTTTCTTATCTCTTTGCAAAAGGTTTTGAAAGTGAAGAAGATTAAGTTAATATAACTCATAGCCCCATATTGGCGTTTAACCTTTCCGGAAATTGGCATTACTTTTCCAGGAAAAAAAAATGACGTTTCCGGGAAAAAAAGTTCACGTTTCCGGAAAGAAATACCTTACTTTTGCGGGAAAATAGTTACGATTCCTGAAAAAAAAATAATTATAATTTTTCCGGGAAATTAATTAAGGAATACCTGTTGAACGAAAGCAAAGTCATAATAAAATGGTAGCCAACACGTCGTACAAAGTCCACAGTAGTACATTCACCATTTAAAAGTTTTGTGTTTTTTTTTCAACAAGGAAGTCCATCTTCTCCTTTTCATATTTTCGAACGGGTGCTTCAATAGATAAAGTTCTCATCTTTACGATGATGTTGTTTGCAGTTTTGATAGAACATCGACAAAGACTAATAGGTTAGGATGGCTAGCGTAAAATTGCTCGTTTAAGTGGAAATTAAAATACTCGGAACCATTGGTTGGTGGAAATCTCGAATTGCCATCTATATAAAATTCCAATATGTAATCTGCAAGCTTCATGCATTTATCGTCAGATGGAGCGTCTGTTATTAATTCTACAAATCATTCTTCAATATTATTGTTTGGCAAGTAAGCCAAACCAAAGAAATGTGTCAGCCATTTTTTTCCGAAATCCGAATTTTTGTCCTTGTAGTCGTAGTCAACTGGTAATATCTTATATATTGTAGATTTAATATCAGAAACGTTTTTGTATAAAAGTGTACAATAAAAATTATCTAACATATATTCAAATATTTATGATTTAATTCCAGGTAAATTTCCGGAAAAGTAATAAATACAAATTCTGGAAACGTATACTTTAAGTTTTCGGAAACTTAGTATTGGAACTTTGAAAAGTTAGCGGAAACGCAATACGCCCACTCATGTTTTGACAATAGTTCGGCCTTAATTGTAATGAGTGTATTAGAAGTCATTATGTTAAAAATGCGTGCAATGTATCGGTTAGTCTAGAAGGAATATACTATGAATTTTAGAGAGAGGGGCTTGATATGTGGTGTGCAGTTGTACAATCATTTGCATATCTTATTTCTACAGCGATTAGATCCGGCTGCTCCTTCATCGTCTATTCTCTCTGAAACATTTGCTTACTTTACATGTTAAAGTTTTTGATAAGGTTAGTTTAAGATGAACCATTATTGGTAATACAATGATATTTGGTATCTATAGCTTCATCAGAATTTTCACTTCTCATTTCTCTGGAGATTATATGGGTCAACCTCAACCATGATTCATTAAGTATAAAGCTATTGCATGTGTTGCATGTTAAAGATTGAGTTTGGATCCGTAAGGAGAACCACAGACTAATATGACAATTATGAAAAATGCTGATATCAGAAAGAAGTTGAATTAGTTTGAAAATCATTGCTTATTAACTTTTATACCCATCTGCCCATCGTTAATACTTATTATATTCAACTTCTTAAATAATTCAAAAGTTATCTGACGCTTTTAAAACAGTCATATTTGACGCAATTTTATTATGCTTAGGGCAAATTTTTCTACACACCCATTTATTTTGCTTATGATGAAATGCCACTTAATACTAGTATCCCATTTTGTTCTTGCAACAATTTCAATATGCACAAAAAGGGTGCATTGTGCAATCTGAGTCAACTTTTTATGATCGGGAGTTAAGCCACTTTAAAATGTAAATTTTAGGGAAAGTTGTAGGACATTTATGAAAAGATTTAAAAGAACAAAAAAAAATATAAGACCTCTAGATCTGCTCCTACACTCCTAGCACAGCAATCACCTCGTCTGTATCGTTGTCTGTTCTTCCACCCATCTCTTTTTTCAACAACCATTTTCATTACATTTTTCTCAGAAACTACTTGGCAAAATGACGTCATAATTGGTCAAGATTTTGATGGGGATGAATTGGAAAGTGTGATTTCTTTTATGGACATCTACTTCCTATTTTCTCACACTTTGAGTTACAAGTGGGTATGCTTAGCATGAACATTCCACATCTTTGCAGGACTATTTGCCCTTGAGCACCTTGAATGTGATATAGTTTTCAGAAAATTAAAGTTATGCTTATTGATTTACACATTTAATTATTTATAGAAAACAAAGACTAGTACAGAACATAATGAAGAGCAAGAATCATTCAACATGTTCAAGGAAAACTATCAGAATGAGGATAATAAAGAGGTATGTTGTATTATCTTCATCAACCTTTTAACTTTGTGTGTCTTTTTTAAACCAGGATCTGTCAATATGGTCATGTTTGATGACTAGCACATCAATATTACAAATTAAATCATAATGTTTAATGAAAGAATTTGTTCGTATCCTAAGATTATTGTAAAGAGTAGTTTGGCAATTTTATTTCATGTTTTTATACGACCGCAAAAAAATTTTGTGGTCGTATATTGGTATGACGTTATCGTCGTCGTCGTCGTCCCGCGTTGTCGTCGTCCGAAGACACATTGGTTTTCGCACTCTAACTTTAGTTTAAGTGAATGGATCTCTATGAAATTTTACCATAAGGTTCAATACCAGAAAAGGAAGGTTGGGATTGATTTTGGGGGTTATGGTACCAACAGTTAAGGAATAAGGGGCCAAAAAGGGGCCAAAAATAAGCATTTTTGTAACTTCCAGACATAACTTGTATGTTAGTGTATGGATCTCTTTGACATTGTACCAAAAGGTTCCATATCACAAAGGGAATGCTGGGATTGATTTTGGGGGTAATTGCCTCAAAATTTTAGGAATAAGGGGCAAAAAAGGGGCAAAAAAACAAGCATTTTTCTAGTTTCATGACAATAACTTGTGTGTAAGTGTATGGATCTTTCTGAAATTGTACTACAAGGTTCCATATCACAAAGAAAAAGCTGGAATTGAGTTTGGGGTAATTGCCCAAAACGTTTAAGAATAAGGGGCCAAAAAAGGGCCAAAAATAAGCATTTTTTCTAGTTTCCAGACAATAACTTGTGTTCAAGTGTATGGATCTCTCTGAAATTGTACCGCAAGGTACCATACCACAAAGGGAAGGCTATGATTGATTTTGGGGGTAATTGCCTTAAAATTTTAGGAATAAGGGCCAAAAAGGGGCAAAAAACAAGCATGTTTCTAGTTTCAGGACAATAACTTATGTGTAAGTGTATGGATCTGTATGACATTGTACTACAAGGTTCCATATCACAAAGGGAAAGCTGGGTTTGAGTTTGGGGGTAATTGCCCTAAACATTTAGGAATTTGGGGCCAAAAAGGGGCCAAAAAACAAGCATTTTTCTAGTTTCCAGACAATAACTTGTGTTCAAGTGTATGGATCTCTCTGAAATTGTACTGCAAGGTACCATAACACAAAGGGAAGGCTGGTATTGAGTTTGGGGGTGATGAATCATAAGGGGGTTCAAAAAGTTGGGGGGGATTTTTTTTCTCCTTTTTTTTTCTTTAAAATGTTCCATTTAAAATTGGTTATTTCTGATTTATATATAAAAGCAAATAATAATGATATGGTTTGAATAGGTAAATTTAAAAAAATTAAGTTCTTAGACCCCATTCATTCTGAGTCAGAAACCTATGCTGTGTCAAATATTTAATCACAATCCAAATTCAGTGCTGTATCAAGCTTGAATGTTGTGTCCATACTTGCCCCCAACTGTTCAGGGTTCGACCTCTGCGGTCGTATCAAGCTGCGCCCAGCGGAGCATTTTATTGAGAATGACAAGGGGTTAATTTAATTGTATCAAAAGGCAATACTTATGCTCTTGAAAAATGCATCATTGGAAAATTGTCATATGCAGTATGATAGCTACAAGTAAGGTGATTGGTATCGTTTATTGATTAATAGATTGTTGTTTGGTGAATATACAAGATTCCTTTTAAAAAGATGACACTCAGACAGAGTTGAAATATAACTTTATCAGCATAAAAAAGCAGTTAAGGCAACGTAAAAAAAAAGGGACAGATGTACAGTTTGTAAGTTCATGTTTTCTTTGAAAAGAGGATTATATCACTTTTATACTTGGAAAATTATTACTGGTATTGATTTAAATATGTTATGAATGAATACGTGTTTGACCCCTCCGTAGCGGTGGGGGCATCAAGTTTTACCCATGTCTGTATGTCCCGTCCGTCCATCCCCAAACATGGTTGTTCTCTAACTTTAGTTTATCTTAACCAAATGATATAAAACTTATACACAATGCTTATTACCACAAAATACATATCAAGCTCGAAATTGGGTGGCGTTACTTTTACCATTCTTGAGTTATGCCCCTTTATAAACATAAAAATTATTGGATTTTTCGCTTCTGTTCTCTAATTTTAGTTTGCCTCAAGCAAAAATAATAACTCGTATACACAATGCATACGTATAACCATAAAACACAGATCAAGATAGAAATTGGTGGCGTCACTTCTACCGTTCTTGAGTTAAGCCCCTTCATAAACAAAAAAAACATTGCTGAATTTTTCGTTTCCGTTCTCTAACTTTAGTTTGCCTCAACCAAATGTTATAAAACTCATACACAATGCTTATTACCACAAAAACAAGTCAGGCTCGAAATTTACTCGCATCACTTTAATTGTTATTAGGTTATGCTCCTTTATGAACATAAAAATCGCCGAATTATTCATTTCAGTTCTCTAACTTTAGTTTGACTCAACCGAATGTTATAATCACAAAACAGTCTTTAACTACGTGAATCCTGTATCTTAATGTGGAAGTTGACTCGTGCATATTTACAAGCAATTTTTTATATGAACTGGTTTTTTTTTTATTATTTAATCTTTCAGATAGCTTTGGTTGAACGAAATAATGGAAACATGTATTTGGGAATATTAGAAGATACAAAGCTGACATTTACAAAGACAATTGTTGGAAAAGTTAAGAAGAGTTTAAAGATGAAAAATTCCAGCTATATCATTAAAAGATCAGATGTCCAAACGATTGATACCAAATACATTATAACGAAGACAGACTTGTGTGAAAAAAAAACCCAGAATTATTCCAACAGATGACCATTGACAAAACATTAAACAAAATGTTCAGGATTATATAAGACAACACAAATGACTTTCAAATTGATGTATTTTTTAAAATGTTTGTATGCCATCACATGATAAATCGAAACAATAAGGAAATTGATTTTTGGCCATATAGCATTACGTTTGTTTTACATGCTTTCTGAACTGTTCCTCTAGAATATTTGTGATAAGATAAATTGGACATAATCATAATTGCAATCATTTTGGAATATTTAATAGTATTAAAAATGAGAGCGGAAAAAAGGTATAATTCATGATCATGAACAAAACATTCTTTATCAGTTTGACTGTCATGACTGTAATAAATAACACCGTTGGAATTTTCTTTTAAATTTTTTTAAGTTTAATCATGTCGAGTACTTTTATAAATGACTATACCATCCTGTTTTTTTATTTTAATCATGGTTGAAACATTGATGGAGTAATTATTTTCTGTTTCCTAAATGTACTTATTTAATTATTTTGTGAATATATTTAATACTATCAAAATTCACAATTATTAAAACATCCTATGTTGCAAAAAAGATAAACATTTCAAAGGATTTTCCAAATAAAGTTTATTTCATTTATATCACAATAATCATAAAGCAATTTCAATGTAGAATAAATTTATTCTGTGTCTCAACCTTAACATGATTACTGTTCTTTCATAATAAATTTATTTTATATATTATTATATAAAACAAAAATCACATTGAATGTAGAATAAATTTATTCTTTGTCTCAGCCTCACCATACAAATAATTTTACTTTCAAAATAAATTTATTCTATATATTATTATAATCATAAATTTTAAATCACTTAGAGTGTAGAATAAATTTATTCTGTGTCTCAGCCTCACCATATAGATTACTGGACTTTCAAAATGAATTTATTTTATATATTATTATAATCATAAATCACATTGAATGTAGAATAAATTTATTCTATGTTTTTCTCGAACTTATAATAGATGTTAAGGCTCTATAAAATAAATTTATTTCATATATTATTATAATCATAAATCACATTGAATGTAGAATAAATTTATTCTGTATTTTAGCCTCACCATACAGATAACTTTACTTTCAAAATAAATTTATGTTATATAGTCATGCATCACATTAAAAGTAGAATAAACTTATTCTGTTTTTCTCGAACTAATAATAGATATAAGGGCTCTATAAAATAAATTTATTTTATAAATTATCATATACAGAAAGCACCATGCATTCAGAATAAATTTATTCTATGTTGCATCCTTTACAGAGAGTTGACTGAAAATGTACAGCTAAGTGTAGAATTCAGTATAAATTTATTTTGAAATGTAACAAATAAATACTAATATAACAGAATTGTCTTTGTTTTTCATCTTTTTTACTTAAATACATGGGTTATAGAATAAATTTATTACATTCTGGTCCAAATTTAGCCACTAATTGCACTTGTCAGAAATTGAAGGGAAAAAAGAGGAAAATCGGTTTTTTCCTTTTTTATTCTGCTCCCAGTTAATAGTTTAACACCACCTTCATCACTGTTTACGAAAAATGACGATTTAAAAACTTCATCTCGGAAAACGTGGAAAAATTTAAAGACTTATATCAAAACTCCCTCTGTGTCGGATAAAATACTGAAAATCTTGACATACGATTTTCCTCTTTGGCGAAGATTAACTATTCGCTGTCTCAAATACATTCAAATTCTGTTAACTTTGACAGGAGGCATTTTGCGTGTGGCTTTATCAACGATAATAATAACACTGAATGGTGACGTCATTTAGAACTGTTCTACAATTCTGACAGGTTTGGTCAGTTCTACGGCTAGAACAGTTTTAGACAGTTCTGCTGACAGTTCTACGGTTAGAACTGATTTAGTCAGTTCTGCTGACAGTTCTACGGTTAGAACTGATTTGGACAGTTCTACCTAGAACAGTTTTAGACAGTTCTACCCTAGAACTGATTCTGACAGTTCTACCTAGAACTGATTTGGTCAGTTCTACCTAGAACTGATTCTGACAGTTCTACTTAGAACAGTACTAGGGTAGAACTGTTCTAGGTAGAACCGTTCTAGGACAGTTTAGAACAGTTCTATGACAGATTATTCTGACAGTTCTAATGCACTGAAAATTTAAATTAGTCACTATGACTATTCATTTAGTCAAATATTAGCCGAAAGGTAGTCAACAGCATATATGACTACCCATCAAGTCATTGTGACTACCTGCACGGTCAATTTGACTATGTTAGTGGTCACAGCACCACGTGGTGTAGAGTATCAGTTTTCACGCGCACTCTTTCGCGTTCCCTTTGTTCTCTAGATCGTGTAGATGTAAACAAACCAGGAGGCATGAAACTGTCATTTTGTCAATTAAACCAATTGTTTAAAGTAAGTATTATGTATATTTGTTTAAATTATAACTTACAAAAATTAAATTTAAGAAAAAGTGTAATGAATGTAAAATCGGCACATGTTGACGTAATGACAATAAAAAAGGGGGAGATATGTATACGGGATATCAATTCTGATACACATACAACGTATTGTCGATTGAAAAGAGTATTTAGCGATATCTTTTGTTCACCTGACCAAAAACTGTTGAAAATAAATTTAACACTGCAATCGATATTCACAACAAAAATTAAAAAAAACCTCAGGTTGGCTGTCAAGATCCTGGTGCTTACATTACAATGCTGTAATATAGGATGGGTGGATGTCAAGATCCTGGTGCTTACATTACAATGTTGTGTTATAAGATGGGTGGCTGTCAAGATCCTGGTGCTTACATCACAATGTTGTGGTAGAAGATGGGTGGCTGTCAAGATCCCGGTGCTTACATTACAATGTTGTGGTATAAGATGGGTGGCTGTCAAGATCCCGGTGCTTACATTACAATGTTGTGGTATAAGATGGGTGGCTGTCAAGATCCTGGTGCTTACATTACAATGTTGTGGTATAAGATGGTTGGCTGTCAAGATCCCGGTGCTTACATTACAAAATAATAGTATAAGATGAGTGACTAAATCACTAGATCAAAGATTTTAAAATTTGTTTTATTCTTTTAACTTTTAACATGACTGATATACTTGTTTATTGTAATATTTTAGCTTTTAAAATGAAATAATTTTATTTTTCAGCAAATGAAGACATTGCTATATTTGTATGAACACAGCTGAGAGATTTTTTACCAGAGAGAATATTACACTGACACATGCAGAGTTGATACCGACAAAATATCTAAAATAAACACTTCAAATTCTGACATACTGAAAATGTATAAAATATATATTGAAGTTGGGATATAATAATGTATGTAACAATGAGTTTATAATAAATATATTTTCTTTATTTGATTTTTAGACTTTAATATATGTCACTGAGTAATGGTTACACATGGAAACTTAAGATATAGGAAGGTTTTGAACATTGAGCACTTTGTGGTCCTATACTGTTGTCATTGTTAGTATTGCTGCTGTGGTATTTTTAATGATATTATATTCCAAATGTATTTGTCAATCCTATGGAAGAGAAACAACATAAAGTAGAATAACAGAAGAAATGAAACATAAAAGTACAAAACGGATGGAAACACACACAAAGTAAAATGGTAGAACAAAAAACACAACACAAATTAAAATAACAGTCTAACAGTCGTGACTATTCACAGTAATCATGTTGACTAACCAACATGGTCATTTTCGACCATTTCAATAAGTCATATGGACTGCATTCAATTGTCAAACTGACAAATGTGCATAGTCAATTGAACAATCCAATTCGTCATAAAGAGTATAACATAGTCATTTTGACTTCCTAACATAGTCATAAATACCAGCCTACTCAGTCAAATGTGACTAACCATCTAGTCAAACGACTAAGAGCATAGTCAAAATGATTAAAATGCATTGTCATCTAGAGGACAGTCAAAATGACCAATTAAATTGGTCAAATTGACTAATTTAGGTTTTCAGTGTGAGAGGTTAGAAGTGATCTCCACTGTATGCATGTTCTGGTTTACTTCGTTCATAACTAGTGGCAATGGTTATGTAACGGTCCTGATTTGACTCTCACTGTCTATGTATATGACTTTGGATTGTATGGTGAATAATGTATGCATAGCAATAACTGCTAACCCTGTCAACGAACCTGGTTGACGCCATTTATTTCTCGTGCGATTCTTTTTGTTTTAAAGCCAATGATTTACTACTGATTAATTTATGATATATTAGCTACATTGGGAATACTCTATTTTTTTCTATCTTCCCTCTCCCTGTATCACTTTGTTCAGCTTTTTGTAAAATTGACTATAAAGGTCATGTGACGTCAATGCTTGAACCTTCCATAAATTAATAAATTTCAGAAATAAACCATAGATACGTGAATATTTTTTCACACTTATACATTGATTAAACATATAAAAATAAGAAGATTTATTACAAAGAACAAGGTACGATAAGCCCCCGTTTTGGCCCCCCCTATTTTCTTATTTTTCAAATTTTGTTTTGGAAAGCTACTTATCATGTTAAAATATTCCCTGAGGTTTGAAGTTTGTTTGGATGAACTTCAAAACCATTAATTTCAGCAACTGGGTGAGGTGAGGGGGTAAACTTTCCGTCATTATTCAGATATTGTAATTATTATTCACTTTGGATGTGTTCCGTACAACGATTTTTTTAGTTTTTAAGTGACTGCGCCAACGTGACCCAGGAATTTTTTTATTACCATGTCATTATCACTGTTTTTGTCTGTCTAGATCGCCATAATTTTCTCCGGGTCACGTAGGCGCACGCTATTGAATTTTAAGAAACACAGGCCAAAATCGTAATTTTTCCTACTTTTGGCGTTTTTTATACCCTTTCACCCCCCTCACCTCACCTAGTTGCTGAAATTAATGGTCTTGAAGTTCATCCAAACAAACTTCAAACCTAAGGGAATATTTCAATATAATAAGTAGCTTTCCAAAACAAAATTTGAAAAATGAGAAAATAGGGGACCAAAACGGGGGCTTATCATACCTTGTCCTTCAACCAATGGATATAGAGACAAGAATTTAGCACAAATATTAAACAGAAAACTAAAGCAAAAGCAGTCTGAGTCTATAAAAAAATATTGGGCCATTCGTTCGGAACGGAAAACGATTTCTGATCTACTAGAGGCGTCAGTCCTGCTGACAATAAAAAATCCAATAAAAATTAACAAACCCTGGAATATTATATAGCTCATGCATACAACATAAATGTGCAAAGGAATTGAGAAAAAAGATAAGTCTCCTCCATACCTTGATTTATGTATAGAAATTGACGTTTTCAACTGGTAATTCATTGTAAAACTTTCCTTATTTAGGAACCTCATTAAATAAACATCTGTTCGTAGAGTAAACATCACTTAGTTAATACGATGTACCAAGCGTTGTGTTTCATGTCTGGATTACGTTGATACAGATTTACGAATAAAGGTTTAAAAAAGAAAGATTACTATCAACTTTTGGGGTTTTTTTTTTATGGTCGAAATCATAAATTGGTTGACCAGTATAAAATGTGTGTCGCAGATTCGTGGCATCCATGATCCCATCCCCTTTTTGTTGATCTATTACCAATTATGGCCTTTTACATGTTATTATAAACACGTTTAAATTCTTCCTTT